TCTCATTGAAAATAATTTAATCTTTCATTTTTGTGGCCTTTAATACCTTACCTTTAAAGTGTAACTTATAACATCATCACTAAAAGTTCAAACTTAAACCAAAAAAACAAACAAACAATTTCCTACATATTTCTTGAAATAGAACGAAGATTGAATCACCTACCAAAACTTGGAACAGTAATCTGTCTCTCCTGCTACACTAGATTCTGGTGTGTGTTGGAAACCAAAATCAGTTGTTTCGTAATCGGACATTCCATCTATATTGTACGTGTCAAAGGGACCATAATCTCCGTCTGTGATACAAAAAAAGTACGATGAGTATGTATGTAGAAACTTATGTTCTAATTTAACTCTCTCTGAAATATTAGTACGACATTTCTGTGTAAAGAAAGCAGTGTTACCGTCCAAAATTATTTGAGCTATTGGGTTTTATTATTTTGTATATAAAGAAAATACTGTCAGGCAGGAAGACTTCTTTATAGATGCACAAAACAAAATAATTACAGTATTGGCTTCGCTCAAGTCTTTTAATTATCCAACTTGCTATGATGTACAGTGCTGAGTCACCATAATTGAACAGGATACTTTTGTGGAACTTATTTTACTCAAAAAATAAAGATTATGACATTTTTATGAAGAAAATACTTTGTAGTTTGCTCATATAATTTAAATGACATTAAACATTTCTAAGACAAAATTAAAATACAGCATGTTATAATAGTAAAGTTACAAATAACAATTTATAAGCATAATGAAGTGGTTTTATTTTTGGGGACATACTACATGTGTGCAATAGCGAATTCTACTTTTATTTTGTTATGATTCCTTCTTTCGTTTATTTCAACTATAAATTTTTATTTATATTAAAGCACTAACTCACCTTCTATCTAAAGCACATTGTTTTTGAGTATGTATGATTGTATTATGAAACTGACATAAGCTTCACCTAGCAGCAATGTACAGATATTAACATTGTGAAAGATTATGTAGATTTATGGTAATAAATAGTCACATGAGATGTAAACTCATGATCTATTAGCCACTAAATAAAAAGCCTTACTTGATCTTGTTAGTTCAAAAGATATTGTTAGAAGTATTGCTAATTATTGTTCAATATTGTGTTATTCTCTGAAGCATTAGGTTTTTATTCTTCTGGTTCTTTTCCCTAATTCTTTTGATATTTATTGGAATTAGAAATTGAGACTTATATTGTATTGTTTAATAATGTTTGTACCTAGCCCTGACCAGACACAGGTTTACTAACTGTTTTTCTTTTTGTAAGTGATAGAATTTGTATCCTAGTTGTTTGAAAGTGTTTTTTTTTAATATTTTTGTAATATTTAATAAATTGTTTTTTATTTTACCCTGGTGATAGCAGCACTTTGTTTAGTCTTACATGATTGGTTTGTCTTCCCAAATGAAAAACACTTCATTGTGCCTATAAATTGCTGTTTTTCAATTTGCTATGATACTAGCATAATATTGTTCCATACAAAAGTAAGATACAGCATACTGTAGTTCTCCAATCTAGGCTTCTTTTACATTTACTAATAAGCATAAAATAGGACTGAAAAACTCTTGTGAACTATATTAAAACTGAGCTTCATAGTATGTCAAACAGCATTAGTATTATCATAATATTTCTCAAATTTGGATAAAGAGTTAAGCAAGCTACAGCACAGTAGATGGTAATATCAGAGTTATAATTCCTGGTGAAATGGTTGACAATTCAAACTGATTACCATTTTTTGGCAAGAAATGATGTGGTCCATTTGGATTGTTTATCATCCATCTACTCATGGGATCCACATTGTGAGATTCATTAACCAAGGAGGGAAGGGATGACTGAATGGCTCTATCCATTTGATGATGGTCATAATTGTTATGGTGAGAGGTAGAAGATGGGGCAGGACTGGTTCTCTCGTGTGAAGAAGGAAAACCAGGGATACAAACACCCATCTTAATTGATGGTTTCACTATATGATCTATGGAATTAGAACCAATGCAAGGGGGAGTTCCCCTCATAGAAGGAACACTTTGTTGACTTTCACTTGTGGACTGGAAGATCCTGGGGTTATAAAAAGGCCAGCCAGGAATCAGAGAATAGCCTGAAACCTGATGAATTAAAAAAAGAAAAAATCAATATATCAAGATGATACAAGAGAACGAGACAATTCATTCAGAAATTGGAGATATCTATCAAAATTTTTGAAATTTAATTGCACTTTTTTCTTAATAATTTGTTAAACTTTCCAAACTCCAACTGCATGTTTATGAATGCTAATAGTATTTTCTTTTTATGATAAAATTTCACTGGTTGAAATCAACTTCTCCAATACTAAATGCCTATTTCATATAAAGTCCAAAATTTATAAGCCTTGTTTAAGACTTGATTAATTCAAATTTCTGTTGTAAATTTTTAACAAAAGTGGTAAAATTTTGCTTCATCTACATAATTTATAACTTTTCAAAATTTAAGTCATTTTTAACCAATTATCATCTTAATGAAAACTTTATGTGCAAAATGAAAAAGTCATGTAGATAATTTCTGTATCAAGGAAATACTGAAATACTTGTGGGAATGTAATAAGATAAATAATTTAATTAATTAGAAATTTATAAACACGGTAAAAACACATTATTCTACTACAAAACAAGTCAGTCAAATATTCAGCATAAATAATGATACCCGAAGAATTCACTGATCTTAATGTTGTCAGAACAGTTTTAAAAACTAATGTTTCATGCAAAAATTAAAATAGAGATTTTGTGATATTAAAAGGTCATGTGACCTTGACATACAGAGGGCACCTCATTTAGTTATAAGCCTACATAAACAAATAATTTTCCATAGTCTAACTTATACAAAAATTGGGTTAAAATACTAACATGGGTTATAGTTACATACAACAGTTAGCAAGTTTGTACATTACGAAAATTGGGTAGAATTACTAACGTGGGTTATAGTTACGTACAACAGTTTGTACATTATAAAAATTGGGTATAATTACTAACATGGGTTATAGTTACGTACAACAGTTTGTACATTATAAAAATTGGGTATAATTACTAACATGGGTTATAGTTACGTACAACAGTTTGTACATTATAAAAATTGGGTATAATTACTAACGTGGGTTATAGTTATGTACAACAGTTTGTACATTATAAAAATTGGGTATAATTACTAACATGGGTTATAGTTACGTACAACAGTTTGTACATTATGAAAATTGGGTAGAATTACTAACGTGGGTTATAGTTACGTACAACAGTTTGTACATTATGAAAATTGGGTAGAATTACTAACGTGGGTTATAGTTACGTACAACAGTTGGCAAATTTGTACATTACGAAAATTGGGTATAATTACTAACATGGGTTACAGTTATGTACAACAGTTTGTACATTACGAAAATTGGTTAGAATTACTAACATGGGTTATAGTTATGTACAAAAGTTAACAAGTCTGTACATTATGAAAATTGGTTAGAATTACTAACATGGGTTATAGTTATGTACAAAAGTTAACAAGTCTGTACATTATGAAAATTGGTTAGAATTACTAACATGGGTTATAGTTATGTACAACAGTTAACAAGTCTGTACATTATGAAAATTATTAACTTTTGTACATAACTATAACCCACGTTAGTAATTCTAACAAGTCTGTACAATAAGAAAATTGGGTAGAATTACTAACATGGGTTATAGTTATGTACAAAAGTTAACAAGTCTGTACATTATAAAAATTAATAGATACTATGCTGCTTCAGAAAGAATAGTTGCATATCCATTTGGATTCCCAGTAAAATAAAATTAGATATACTGAACATGACATAAATATTATTATTATTGTACATTATATTCATTGCGAATTATGAATACTGCAATAAATAATATTGTACGAGGTGAGTAAGGCAATTCTTGTGGGATCAATGAGCATTGCACAACTTTTATAATAAATATTTTTACTGTAGTGTTATGATTAGATCTCAGTGCTGTATCAGCTCAATGTTCTTGATTCAGAGCACGGCCACATTAGTGTTCGTCATCATAGACGAGTCCGTTTACAACTCAGGATACAGATTTCTGCTTTGTTGACATAGATAAGTAAACTAAGGGATTGGGATATGTCTAAAGACCAATCATTTTCTGTGCAAAAAATGAAGCATGTTGATCCTCAAGAATTGAAATGTAGTGTAACTTCTATTGATTAACCAGTTGCAAATGATAACCTGTCTAGACACACGGTTTGGATCATGTGAAGCACGATCAGGTAATTCAACTTCTGTGTTTTATCTTAACTTTATTTTAGCCAAGATACATGGAATTCTGGAAATTAAGTAATACAAAACCTTTCCAGAACAATTTCTTACACTATCAAAAGAACCTATATTTTGATACTCTAAGATTATTATTTTCAATACTTAAAAAACAATGCATTTTTTTAAAAAAAAGTAGCTAATTATCGTATATCATTTCATTAATAAAAATATTCTTCAGCTAAATATGAAGAACTTAAATTTGTAAGCATATTCCTCTGACTTTTACTCGGAATTTGTAAAATTTGTACCATTTTCAAGTTATGATTTGAAGATTACTTAATATTTAATAGAATAACTATTTAAGCTATATTTCTGTATCTATCAAGTAGTAAAATTTGATGAACAAAAGAAATCTCACCTGTGACTTAACAAATGGTCCCTTATGCATGGAGGAGATTCCAGCAGATGAGGTTCCTTCACTAGGTGGGCAATCAGGGGGTGGTGGAATAAGATCTGCCCAGTTTACAGTAGGAACATTAGGGTTAGCTCGCACTGCTTTAAGCCTTTTTTTCTTCATTGGCACTCCATGTTCATCTAGATATAAAATGAGATAACACTAGTATTTTTAAAAGTATACACAAAGAAAGATTCTGGAGGAATCGATAGGAGAGAAGCTCCTGGGTTTTTATGCTTTAATGAGCTTGAACTTCATTAAAACAATAATTAAGTGACCATTGATCAGATTATATATATTTTTTATTTTCTTTGTTATTCATTACTTTTTTTTCCCATTATTCCTTGTATTTGCTAAAATAAACAATCTGTAGTAATAAAATGCACATTTATTAATGGGTTGAATATCTGATTGGAACCAGCCACTCTAACTCGATGCTTAGCATTTCGTGGAAACATTTATACTGAGATGGTTTATTCCACAGACTAGTGAGCTACAGACTTAAATGTAATAAATTAAGGGTAAAAATGCAAAACTTTTGTTTGATTCAATGTCTACATAAGAAAGCAACTAATTTAACTATTTTTCAATTTATTATTTTTTAAAGATTTTAGCACTGACTGAAGTAGGGCAACCATATTCAAGAAAGATGATAAACAACTTCAGATAAATGTTTCTCATTTTACCCCACGTTTTGGCTTATGACTTTTTCAAGGGTCTTTCAACCCTTAAAATAAAAGGTTAAGTCAGAGCATCGGGTAGAATAAAAAAACATTTATCTAAAGTTGTTTACCTTGAATATTTCATTATCACTTAATACTAGTTCTAGTTAATCAGCTAGGATCATAGTGATGAGTTACTAAAACTGTTAAAGCCCCTTCACCATGATAGTAACCAATCACATATGTCAATACTAGTTCTAGTTAATCAGCTAGGATCATAGTGATGAGTTACTAAAACTGTTAAAGCCCCTTCACCATAATAGTAACCAATTAAATGTGTCAATACTAGTTCTAGTTAATCAGCTAGGATCATATTGATGAGTTACTAAAACTGTTAAAGCCCCTTCACCATGATAGTAACCAATCACATATGTCAATACTGGGTAATTAAGCTAGTATCATCAAAAAACGATTCCCTGAAATTGCCAACTCCCCTTCGACATATTATTAACCCATCACCTTAATGATTTTTTAGAAAATAGTCATCCAGTCTGAAGAGATGGTTTTTAAAACTGATGAAAATATTGATACAGCTTGAGTTTTCTTCCAATAACATATACAGCTTGTATTTCCCACATAAACATGTGATTTACATACCTAATTAATACAACCCCATTATTCAATCTAAAAATTAGAAAAAGTTTAATTTAGTCTTTTTTAGACATTTCAGAACCAATAAAATACTATGCCATCAGAATTTACATATTGTGTTTACTTTGTGTGAATACTGATGCTCCTGTGAAAGTTCACAACTACTTGTTAATTAGTGTTTATTTTTCAAAGTAAATATTTCCTGTGTAATCCATAAAAACAAAAACACTGAGCACGAGTTCAAAAAATAAAAACAACTGTACAGAATCTTCACTTAATTTGTTGTCATTCTTTTAAATAATAAAACAGCGAGTCAGATTGACACACACATATTTTGACCTTTCTGTATAACAAACTTTTACATTCAAAATTTTAAACCTTACCTTTTGTATAGCTTCCTGACTCACTTGCTTGACTTCCCTGCTCCATAAAGTGATCTAGAACAGCAAACATATAACGTCCTTACCTTGTACCCCTAAATAATACTAATAAATAATGCTTTCGAGCATAAAACTTCCACATTTTTATAGTAAGTAGAGTCAAGAATGTTCTTATAAAATTTCAAGTTCTTTTTACATTTCATAGAAGCTGATTTTAATAACATTCCTTTTTATAGTAATGTTTGAAATCTGATGTCATCTGATTAATTTTATTATGCACAATTATTGATATATTTCTGTACGTGTACACGTTTTCTGTCCTTTTGTTAAGTTAAAAATTGTATATTAATTAGCATGAGCCAGTTATTCCTAAATTAAAAATCTGAATAAAGTATTTTTTTATATTCATTATAAAACCTCTAATTCAATCAACTTGTAGAAAAACAAGTGATATGATCTTATATTTTTTTCATTCTTAGAAAGTTATTAGTAGCATTTACATCTTGGCTTTAAATATGCTTAGTCAATAGCGAATATGGTTGCAGCTTGCAGTCTTTTGTTAATGTTCTGATATATTCACATTTTTCAACGGCTTACAGATTAAAGACCAACGCAGCAGTGGAGCTTCCGATGACATAAACAGGAAGTCTGAAAGAAAGGTTGATATTGAACCTTTTAGAATGGGAGAAGGTAAGAATTCAGTTGTTCTTTCTTATAATTAACTCTTTAAGTTGATATCTCGGATTTTGAGTCATGAAGGACTTATTTTGTATAAGTGTTTATTGGTGCAGAGGCACCTAAAATGAGGAGCAGAAGAGACACATGCTCCTGCCAGTTTTTATTTTCGCTTGCCACTCAATTTTAACAAAGTAAAAAGCATGTGCAGTGGTTTTAGGCAAATGAAAATGTTGCCTCTTCAAATTTAAATAAAGATCAACACATTTTTGGAGGTCACCCAACAATGAGGTGAATCTAGCACAAAATTGATAATGTAGAACTGACTAACAGTGGTGTAGACAGAGCAGAACATTTTAAGGGGGGGGGGAGCAATAAATTAAAAAGCTGAAATTGATCTAAAGTTGTAATAAAATGGTTATTAAAACAAATCAAGTCAAATGTAATTTTGTTTATACAAGTTTTACTTTTTTTATTGAATGATACAAAACAAGTTTATTATACATAAAATAAAAAGTAATGTGATCAACGCGCCTTGATTTTTCCGGGGGGGGGGGCCCTTGGCTATGCCTCTACTGACTAACAAACCACCACTAGTAATTTTGTATCAATCAAAGTCAATATGCAACTTGTGGAAACTACATGGTTACTACAGCAAGATTTTTAAACTGAATTTCAGACAAATTATACAAAAAAGTAACCTGAGCTTATTACTGGTGATGGTAAAAATCTTTATAGAAGCTTATTTTTCTAATGTCCATTGAATCAAAAAATATTTTGAACTAACTTCATGTATATAAATTCCCCTTTTTTTCAAGTAAAAATGTTAAACATAATTGTTTGCCGTTAAGCAGAAAACTACACAACAGGTTATCTGTGCTTTGCCTACCACAGGTATCAACACCCAATGTTTAGTGTTATAAGCTCTCAGATTTACCACCAAGCTACTGAGAGGTGGTTCTACATAATCAGAATTTTATTGGTGTTCAGATTTTCTTGAAATGCAAATGATATATGTCAGGAGCATGTTTCACCAAATCATAAGTCTAAGTTTTGCTTTAGTCGAGGTATGTGTTCTCGTAAACTGTTTTCTTTACGTAATTATACAAAATTATACTGTTCTTTTATAGATTCACGATATAAATAAAGATACTGTTCTTTAATAGATTCATGATATAAATAAAGATACTGTTCTTTACTAGATTCATGATATAAATAAAGATACTGTTCTTTACTAGATTCATGATATAAATAAAGATACTGTTCTTTAATAGATTCATGATATAAATAAAGATACTGTTCTTTACTAGATTCATGATATAAATAAAGATACTGTTCTTTAATAGATTCATGGTATAAATAAAGATACTGTTCTTTAATAGATTCACGATATAAATAAAGATACTGTTCTTTAATAGATTCACGATATAAATAAAGATACTGTTCTTTAATAGATTCACGATATAAATAAAGACACTGTTCTTTAATAGATTCATGATATAAATAAAGATACTGTTCTTTAATAGATTCATGATATAAATAAAGACACTGTTCTTTAATAGATTCATGATATAAATAAAGACACTGTTCTTTAATAGAGTCACGATATAAATAAAGACACTGTTCTTTAATAGATTCATGATATAAATAAAGACACTGTTCTTTAATAGATTCATGATATAAATAAAGACACTGTTCTTTAATAGATTCATGATATTTTCATTAAAAACAGCACCAACATAATAGAAATATTCAAATAATGCACTTACTGAACCAGCATGACTTTTGTATGGTGAGGGGTTAATCAACATTGTTGTTGCATAAGGAGCAGGAACAGAAGACGTTCCTCTCTTATAGAATGTTGTCATATTATGAGAATCAACTTCAGCATAGTCAGGACCATTGACTTCATACTGAAGTGGACAGTAGGTACTATGGCAAAATAAACCGTGCAGTTAATTATGTTTTATACAAAAGCATTATAGTACATTCTTTGATATATATAGCAATAATAAAGTTACTTAATAAAGTTTTGAAAATGAATTGCTAAAAGACTGTGACATGTACAGTTAGACCCACCCATTGTAAAAGGATTAACATAACTGTTTCTAGCTGTTCCCAACAACTTTTAGTTTTTATATTTCACATTAAATAAAAAAATAATAAATATTTGAAATATTTCATGCTCTAGAAATACAGAGGAGGAAAGTTATAATTTTTCAGGCAAATTACAGGACAAAGTAATCATTTTACTTTCTTAAATCCAACATTTATTAAACACATCAGATCTATGATAGAAATACTAAATTCAAGAAAATCCCAAATAATATAAACCTAATACATTAGTTATGGTAATGGGTCTTTGTATAACAAAGCTTTCTGAATGAAATTGTAAACTTGTCTCAAAAAGTATTAACAATTTGTTCTTAGTCTATTTTTAATGGGAATTAATGTTGACGTGAAAGCTAGATCAGCATATCTAGCCTAATTAATATATTGTTCTAATATCAAATACAAAAAGAGTTGATACACTGTATTCATGACACCATAATCCTTACTTTCAGATGAAATGATGAATATATTTTTGTAATATTGAGTAAAATATATTTAAATGATGGCAGATTTTATGCTAATACAACACATTTCAGGTGTGTCCAAGTTACACCAAATATCAATTTTAAATGGTTATTCAGCAAATTACTATACTTGTACGTTTTAAAATATTTGTTTGTGTTACAGTAAAAAAAAATGTTTGTTAATTTCATACACTGTCCACAAAACTACAACTATGATACAAATCACATACCTTCTAAAGAAAGTACCATTCAAATAAATATCAAACTAAAATTAAAATCTACAGATGTATAAAGAACTACAGCATTATATAACTAAATCACATAAATAATGATTGATTACTCTCCCATCAACAGTACATGAAGCTGAACAATGTACAACTATACAAAAATACAGATGTGTAAAGAACTACAGGATTATACAATTTAATCACATAAAGAATCACTCTCCCATCAACAGTACATGAAGCTGAACAATGTACAACTGTATAAAAATACAGATATGTAAAGAACTACAGGATTATACAATTTAATCACATAAAGAATCACTCTCCCATCAACAGTACATGAAGCTGAACAATGTACAACTATATAAAAATACAGATGTGTAAAGAACTACAGGATTATATAATTTAATCACATAAAGAATCACTCTCCCATCAACAGTACATGAAGCTGAACAATGTACAATTGTATAAAAATACAGATGTGTAAAGAACTACAGGATTATACAATTTAATCACATAAAGAATCACTCTCCCATCAACAGTACATGAAGCTGAACAATGTACAATTGTATAAAAATACAGATGTGTAAAGAACTACAGGATTATACAATTTAATCACATAAAGAATCACTCTCCCATCAACAGTACATGAAGCTGAACAATGTACAACTGTACAAAAATACACATGTGTAAAGAACTACAGGATTATACAATTTAATCACATAAATAATGATTGATCACTCTCCCATCAACAGTACATGAAGCTGAACAATGTACAACTGTACATAAGTATATTAAAAGCAAGATTATATTTTCACTTGCAATCATTACACGAAAAAAAGAAACTTAGTAAAAATCTGGTTTGGAATAATTGATTTTAGAAATATTTATAAATGTATTAGTAAAAACAGTTTGATTTATGGATAAAAGTAAATAAATAAGCTTCATATTCAGATTTAGAGTGGGGGAGAAAAAGTATAAAGACATCAAAGATAATTAGTGTATCCAAAAGTAAAATACAGCTTTAACTGTATAAGTAACAAGAGAAAATATTTTTTTTTGTTATTACCTGGCATAGTTGAGATCATTTGCTGAGTTTTCTCTCTTTAGTAGTTTAGATTCACTAATGCTTTGTTCAGTTTTGCCATCAGAAGGATTCCAAGTGTGATTAATCCACAAAGCCTCATGGTTGCTGACCCCAGCCCTACATGATGTGTTAGCACCAGAAGGTAAACAGACGGAGAACCAGAAACCACAGAATAGTAAAGATTTGATTAAAGTGTTAGTAAAGAAATACCAGATGTTACTGTAATTCTTTGTTAATTTCAAAGTTCTGATGTCTGTTATAACTTTGATAATCTACAAAACCATCTGTGTCTTTTATAAAACCTACATTGTTCTAACAATGCTGAGTAAGATACGTTGTTTCTTCTTATATATCCATCCACTTATGACAAAATCTATTGCAGGGTTTTGGAATCAGTTTGAATTAGTCAAAAGCTAATCATGCACTTAATGTTTATTTATCTTGCTACTAATATGTGTGCAGAAAGTTGAATATTTTTGTCATATTCCATATTTCCAAAACGAAAACTTTACAAATGTTTTGTCTTACCTCACATCTTCAGTTTTATGGACAGCAACTGGAAAGAAAATATCCAATCTTACTTGCTACAGATATTAATAAATTTATGCAAAACTGATAAGCTGTGTAGTTTTAAGAGCTAATGATAGGTGTTTTATTGTGAGAAGTGAGTTACTTAATTTTTCTGTGTAATTAATTATTTGGTATTATTTGGTAGATTGTCTAAAATAACTTTGAATCTATGTATTTTTTAAATTAATTTTCACATTTATGCTTTCCTAACTTAATTATATGAATTTAAGCCTACTCTAAATTAGCTAAGTTGGCCGAATCTCGTGAGAATTATTGAAATTGCAGAAAAGGTTTCCAATGTATTCTAATCATTGTATGTTTTTGATTACTTATGTATTGATTTATGGCATCAAGTACTTTTAGGCAGGATTGTTTTAAATAATTTTATAATTTACCTTTTATTTTTAATCTATTTTGTTAGACTACCATAAAGCATCATACTTTATGTATGAACATGTTTTTATGCCACTGTAATTACATTTTTTATCCAACTAAATTCTCTTAAGCTAGAGTTAAACAGGTTGGTATTTTTTCTGCCAATAGTTAGCTAATGTTCAAGAAAACTTGCATATTCAAAAAACATTTTTATCTCACTGCAACAATAAAGGTTGACTACATTAAATAAAAATGAGTTTGGAGCCAAAGAGTATTATTATAGTTGATGTTGCCATGTCTGGTTATACTTCATATGATGAATGTATGTACATCTTGATATAGCCCTGCAGCATAGTTTCTATTGCAAAAGTCTCCATCGTAAGGACGCCATGTTAAATTGACTCTACTCCACCTTGCATGCTTTCCATATTCCAGCTAGTGTAATATGATGATGTTTTCCCAGCAGCCAATTGCACAGAAAATCAAATGCCATACATTTGGTGACTTGACTGATAAGTCTTCCTGTGGAATAGCAAAAAACACTTGTTTCATTCTCTAGCTGCTAGAATTACATGACAGTTGATGAATGGGTACATCATGAAAACACATGGTTTTTATTGCTTTTCTAGAAGAAGATTTTTCTTGCTTATGCAGTGAACTGTGTCCTTGGACAAACATGACCAGATTTTTCCACTGACTATTGTGTTTGTGAATTCTTACCTGTTACAAAATGCCACACTTTACTTATCACAGCTGGAGTATGACTTGTTGAAGGTCTCTTTGTGGATAGTCCTGATGCTCCAAGTTGATCAATATTCCTCTATTTTCCAATGCCCTTATATGAAGACATCTTAATGCTCTGGTTGTATGATATTTTGCATCAGAAAGGATTGTTATACACCTTTTACAAATGCAATGAATTTTAAGTAGCATCACGCTACTAATAAATTAAAAAAAAAAAAACTAATCAAAATGGCATTCCAACCTGACTTCATATCAGCTGTGTGTCATGTGATTTGCTTATTTGCATATTCAAAATTGTTTTAATATGACATACTCAAACCTCTGTACCAATGTTGCTAATATTTTCATGTTAACCAAATTAATTTTTCTATTTGTCAACTTTTTGCCAATCTGTTCCATAGTACAGAATCTTTATATCATTGTTAATGTTTGGCTTGAAAAGTTACTGGTCATGTACACTAAACACTTTCAAATGGCATTAACAATAGTGGGACACCAAACTAACAATGCATTTTTAGATTAAATTAGAGACTCTTTTACTATTAAATAGAAATATTTATATGCACCTTTAAACTTTCAGAGCAACAAAAAACACAGATGAAGACCAGATAAGAGTATCCACACTTACCAGGAAGGTGAGCTTCTAAAGCTTTCTTCCAGGCCATGCGTCGACACAAGAAGAGGACAATGAAGAAGATCGATAATAACAGACACAAGAGGCCACCAATAAGAGCTATGAACCAGGGCTGTTGCAGGGTATCATGAATAGAAGTAGTAATAGATGTGGATGCTGGACCATTATCAGGTTCATTACTCAGGTAGTTTGAGTCTGAAATAAGGGCACATTATTACTATTGTGAAAATATATATATTAATATATAAATCATTCTTTAATAAATACTAGGGAATGAAATGATTATCTTACATGATACTATTCAACAGAAAAAATTAATTTACTTTGTTGAAAATGCTCTTCTGACCACTTACCCGTAACTAGTTTCACCGGTGCAGTGAAGGGTCCAATTCCAACAGATGTAAAGGCCACTGCTTTAACTTTGTACTTATGACCAGCTGTGAGATTATGCACAGTAATAAAGGTTGTGGTGGCATTGGTGCTGATATTTGAATGAATTTGAGAGGTATTTTTTAGGATATGAATCTAAAATGCAGATAAATAAATATCAAGAACAATCTTATTAAGAGTAAAAAAAAACAAACTATAATTCATCTTACAAAAATTGATATTAAACTACAGATTCTATCTATGAATTCCCACAGTCTAGCATGATCTTATCCCTACAGTTATAGACCCCACCCACTTTTCAAATGGAGTATTCTAAATGCACCAATTTACTTGTGAATCTGTGATAGTAGTTGCAAATGTTCCTAATAACATATAAATCATACTAAAAATTTAAAAAAACATGCCATTACGTTTAAAGTTCTGAAGTTATCCCATCAATTTTTGACATTATTAGAAAAAAAGGGTAAAATAAAAGTTAACATTTTTCCTATACTGTATTTCTGATAGATTCTTACCTCCTCTTACAGAATAGCTTTTCCTGACTTGTACTGCCCTCTATATGTGCAAATTTTCACTCGCTACTAGCCTTAATACTCTCACCTACCCTCATGTCTTAGTGTAAGGCAACTGCATGCATGCAAATGAGCATGCTACATCCCTCCACTAATAGGAGTGCAGCACAGCTGACTCCCTCTATGCAGCTTAGCCCAAAATCACTCCGAAACTGAGCAACAGAAATGGAAAAGACACCGGAAGTGGGGAGGAAGTGCAAGTGGAGGTAAAAATCTTTTGAAAAAACATTTCCAGTGTTAACTTCAGATATGATATCTCACTTCTACTCACATAACAGCTAGAATCCAACATTGACCTGGTCTAACATTACCTAGATGAGCCCCCTTCAGAAAGTGCTCAAAGGAAGCTCATAAAATGTGTGAATAAAGAGTATATAAGACACACACCCATGGGAGACTGCACCACTTATGAATTAGGTATACTTTTTGTCCATGAAAATGATGTGTTACAATAAAGGCAAAAACATAGGATGGACCCATAGATTAAATGAAGGAGCCCCTGGTGTACAATGGCTATGGCATAGTGGACCATAAATGGGAGTTCAACCAACACCAACAGAACCATGATAGAAAAAATCAGCCCACAGTAGGAAGAGGATCCTCTACTGTTCACCTTTGACAAGGGAAGTGGAAGGGAAGATCTTCCATTCCAAAGACCCACATCATCATGTGTGCTTATCTAACACAACTAACGCCAGTATCGAAAGACAGTACCAAGGTAGACATTAATGTAGCAGTCAACTCCAGTCCAGAACTAGGCAGCATTGAGGATGAATCACCCAGTCTGTGGTAGAAGGAGGGTGCCAGTGCCACTCACATGTAAAAACTTATGTGGCTGGTCCATCTCCAACGAACACTAGTAACCCCCCTGGGAACCGAGGGTGCCAAGCTGGAGGGGGGAACTACATTTTGGCAGAAATTGTCCAGTCCATAACCAGGGAGCATCTAGAATTGTACACCAGGTCCACAGAACTGGCAGAACAAACCACCCCAGTTCATGGGCCCACCACCACAACATCTAAGAGCTGGTAAGTGGTAAGAACTTCCATATTCCACTGGAAGAAGGGTAAAATAATGCACTGGAGAACCTGAAGGAGAAACTGAGTGTGAAAAGATGAGGTGGCATGCAAGAGAGCTAGAAGTAGCTAATCATCCTTGTAATGTGTAAACAAAGGCCTTAGAATGGAGAAAATGGACAAATACCTTGAACATCTGACAATAAACGTAGGGAGCTGAAGCCAGTCCAAATGGAAGAGCCCAGAATTGGTAGACACAATCCCAACTGTCAAAATACAAAAATGCTGTGGAGATGGAAATGTGGAGGTATGCATCTGAGACATCCAACTTCATCTAACAAAGACCAGGAGTGAACACACATCAAAGAGATAGGTGGGACTCCATGGTGAATCGAGGAAGGTCTAGGAATCAGTTCAAGAAAGAGAGATTGATGACAAGGTGGCAGTACCTTGTCTTCATGGAGCTACAAACAAACAGGAAAAGAAACCAGGCTATGAAAGGTCCCCCTGTTCAAATAGCACCTTTGTGAGGAAGATCTAGAACTGCCTCGGAAAGATGATGGATGGAAAGGGAATCCCAAGGAGGGGAAAAGGATACGGGATGAGGGGACAGGGAGGAGAAAAACTGAAACAAAGAATGAGCCCTTCAGAAAGAACCCTCAGAACCCAAGAGTCTATGTTGAAGGAATCCCAAACAGTAACAAAGTACAAAAGCATAGCCCCACTGGATATGTCCCCCCCACAAAGTCAATGAGACCACCAGAGATTCCAAAGCCATCAATAAATGAACCAATGGGTAGCCTCAGAGACCTGTGTAGTAGATACTAGTAAAGGAGGGGGATGGGACATGGAAACAGGTTCAGGAGGAGGTTGAGACAAATGGGAAGCCAATGAGGAAACAGAATAAAAGAGGAAGGATAACATTACACAGATACGGGAAAAAATAAAGAGGTTGGGAAAAGTTCCCAAAGTATTGGGATCCAAAACCCACAGAGATAGAAGAGAATCCAACTACTAGAAGTCCAAAAAAGGGAATGCAGACCTTTGGGAAGCCATATGATGTTGGGGTCGAGACATGCTTGCCCCAAACATAATCCATCTGCAAACCTTCTTGGCATGAATCCTGATATCCTGCAAGGGAGGGAGAATAATATTGACCCAAAGGTGTCTCACTAAAAAAGGAAGGATATGACAAAGACAAAATTCCACTGCCACTGGAATTAAATGTGAAAGTGTGGCACAGAAATGGGGAGGAAACAGGCTGTCGAAATCCACGTTGTCATGTTCAAGTACCCCTGAACAATGCATGAGAGGAGAATCCACAGGCAAATCAAGAGCCTGCATAAAAGTAGCCAACTCCCAGCAAACCAAGGCCATAACATTTCCCACTGACAACACTAAGTCCAAAGCCACGATAGTCGATTTTTTTTATTGTTATTATTTAATAAGGTTAACTGTAGTAGAAATAGCAGTGGTAGCAGTAGTAACGTGAAAATCCCAATACATTTCAACTTAGAGTGGAAGGAGAAAAAGTCCAAAGAGAGAGCTCCAAAGAATCATTTATTGAAATAAAAGACATATACTGCTGCCACGTGGAAACTAAAATTTCAGAACACAAGTGTAGCAAACATAAACAAAAACTAAACAGCGAGTGCCAATCGAGAAGTGACTTGGGGCTAAGCTGCATAGAGGGAGTCAGTTGTGCTGGGAGTTGTAGCATGCTCTTATTGATGGAGGGTTATCACATGCTCATTTGCATGTTATCACATAGCTGCTACATGTGGAAACAGATGAGGGTAGGTGAGATTATCAAGGTTAATGGCAAGCAAAAATTTGCACGTATAGAAAGTAGTACAAGTCAGGAAAAGCTATTCTCTGAGCGGAGGTAAGATATCATATCGGACTGGCTATGGACACATAAAAAAGACCCTGACCCCAAAAGATTATTTATCATACTATGCTATACATCCCCTATATTGCTTCAATTATTAAATAAGCTTGGTTAAAATTTCAAAATTTTATCATTTAAATCAACCCATCAGATTCACTTAAGACTAAGTAAAAGGTTTTGTGTTTACTTCCTAACAAATATTCCTATGTAAAATTACATGGTACTGATATTGAAGTGGAAGAAACTGGAAGGAATCTAGAAATTTGGCTAAAAGAACATTTTCCTCCTCTTTCATGTGCTTTTGAACATCACAGTATTATACCAAACAATTTACTGACAAATGATGTTCCTTATATTCATCAAGAACAAATAGAAATTAAAGTTCTTTTAAGTAAAGAACTAAATCCTCTATCAACAAGCATTCTGCCGTTAAATTTTATAATTTTTTACCCTCCAGACAGAGCCACTAATCTCCTTAGACTCATACAGTTAAGTAAAACAATCTTCACATTATTGTTATGGATAGCACATAAGTCATAAAGGCAGACCTTTCCACAAACATTAAATAATGAATATGTTTCATATGAAAAGAGGAACATCCTACTTACATTATAACCTTGCAAAATTCCATTCCTGTGTTGAGGAGGAGGGGAAGACCAGGATATTTCAGCAACTGTTAGGTTTTTCAATTGTACATGAAGATTGTCTGGTGGTGCTGAAGGTACTACAAAGTCAGAAAAAACAACTTATTCTAATGTAGAAGAAGATGCTTTTTGTTTGTTTTAGAGCAAAGTCACACTGGGCTAACTGCTGTGTCCACCACAAGGAATCAACCTCAGATTTGACTGTTGTCTGTAAACTTACTGCTGCCCCAACTGAGGGACAAGAGACACTATAAAAATGTGATGTGTTCAAAGTTTAGTCTGTTAATTAGTATTGAAAATAGAACAAAACTGGAGAAAAATACCGGGTATTTTTATACTGTACCTTAGTACTTAAAGCATGGAAAAAATTAATTTTGAATTGGAAACAAAGTACCTGTGGATTTTAAAGTGATGAATTATGCATTTTAAGCCTGAAGAAAATACAGATGTCAAAATAATTATATTGTTTGATGGTAACGAAGAAGATAAACTGTAACGAGTCACCTATAGCCTTTACGTTGTAAACTAGTTCTAAAGTATCAGAAGACATTAAAATGTTGGAAATAGAATTATTGTAGATTTTTAATTGCAAGGGAAAGCTGAATAATAATAATAAATAAAACTTGGTTGAATAGTGAAAATACATATATAATTTAATTGAAATTACTAACATCATTAAGAATTTAAATATTTTATCTGAAGAGGTTATATTTATAGATTTATTCCAAATCGGTCTATCTATATGAGCCCCCCCCCAGCTCAGTCAGCAGTAAGCTGTAAAGCTTAGTATGGTAATAAAATTTGATGTTTGATTGATATGGTGGGTAAAGCAGCATTGCACTGGAAAACAAAATTATTTCAGTAATTTCTAAAAGAAAAGTTCAGAAGTATTCCGTATTTATTTAATAAAGTATTAGCATTCACAGTAAACAGATTATTTTATCAAATCCAACAAATAAAGGTAAGATAATTAAACAGATGTCTGGCCAAAAGTAATTAAACAGTGGAGTAATGTAACTGCAGTCAATGCACAACTGTGTAATTATTACATTTGGCCACCCCTGTGTAAGAATATCAGTACATGAAGTAGCTTAATGAATTTCTTCCATTAATGATGACCTATTCACAATTACACATACTGTAGGTTTTAACAAAACTTGTACCTACCATCCTCTAGAGTTTGGGCACTATGGGAGTTACTTGGTGGGCCTTCTACGCTCTTGTAGAATGGAACAAGAAAAAATTCATACTTGGTGAATTTTCTCAGGTCAGTCAGTACATAAGAGGTTGCAGCACCATTCAAAACTGTGACCATGTTGTATTTTTGTGATCCACCACTAGTGTCACGAAATCGAATGTAGAAGCCTTCAACATACCTCAGATTACCCTGAATCTATAGACAGAACTTATGTGTCACAATTTATATCATTAAAGCATTTTAAAACTACATTTAGAAAACATACCTCAGATTACCCTGAATCTATAGACAGAACTTATGTGTCACAATTTATATCATTAAAGCATTTTAAAACTACATTTAGAAAACATACCTCAGATTACCCTGAATCTATAGACAG